TCTTGGTTGAAGCTCTTAACGGTCTCAATGGCTTCTCGAATGATGAGGTCGCTTGGAAGGGAGAGCGAGCCATTCTAGCAGCGACGGCTGCTCTCGAGAATTTCTTTGAGATCAGTCAAGATTGAAGGGATGTATCCCCTTTCCATTCGAGATTATGGACGGCTATTCTGGAGCACACAGGCGCAGGGGATGTTGATTTTATTTCATCGGCCTGTAAGGAAGGCTGCCCACTGGGTATATCAGTGGACCTACCAGTATCTGATGGCCTGCACCCTACCAAGAGAGTGCCCTGTGAAGTCATAAATACTGAAGCGCAACGGGCAGAAGCCGCCCGAGGTAATTACAAATCCTCGATTCCCGACTCCTCGATTTCATTGTTAGGATGAGAGGAGCTCGTACTTGATAAGGAAATAGTAAAAATATAACAGGAAAAGAGTCTTCTCTATACTCGCACTTTGATCATCAAATGGTCGACACTTCAGGGCGGTTGCGAGACCAGTTGATACCGCTCAGACCGATCAAAGTGTGTTCACAGCTTCCCGATGAGCTCAATCCGATCTTGTTGATAGACCCGAAATTTTTATACCAGAAGAAGCTTCATCGGGGTCGTCATCTACTGCACCTTTACGAGATAAGCTATGGATGCATAAGGTTTTAAAGATGCTGACGGCTCATTGAGTGAGTTGTCTCCGAGTGAATTGCAGAAGATCTATGATAACTTGGTGAAGCGAGAGCTGAGAAGGCAACATTGCCACCTGGAGGAATATTCAGAGGTTTCAAAGGTACTAGACCGGTTCTCTCTGTCTTGCGAGAGTATGAACGCATCCCTCATGGGATGCTGGTTATGGCCCTAGTGCTGCTTTCTTCCGAGGTATTTACCAACCCGAAGTATGAAGGGTTTAATGGCTACAATGGCACATTTCTTTCTCTGGGTAGTTTCCAAGTGGATCTGTAAGTTCCTCTTGACCGACTGGCTAAGACAGTTGGATAGATAGATGTACGATAATCGAGGGCCCAGCGCTGTTTGCTTCGCTTCACAGCGGACAAGACTCAAGAAGTAGTTGATACTCCTGTTATCAGAGTTCCCCTTGTATTGTTCCTTGTCGGGGCACTTGATATGGGAAACAGCATTGATGGCCTTTGTTGTATCAAGCGCCTTCTCCTTGTCATAGTTGTAAGATAGATCGCACCAGTACGCCACGTTGGTGATGTCGTTGTTACAAGGGTGTTGTTGACCTTGCATGAGAGAGGTCTGGGGCACTCCTTGAGGGCAGACCTGCACAGTGGGAGCAGAAGATGTAACCTGCTGTGGATGTACTGTGTTTGCTGGCCTTCGAGAGAGACTTGCAGCT